TGTGTGTGTGTGTGTGTGTGTGTGTGTGTGTGTGTGTGTGTGTGTGTTTTCCAGGGGTCGGTATCTGGTCGCGCTGGGGCGTTCTTGGCACCCGGAGGAGTTTACATGTTCACAGTGTAAGGCGGTCCTGGATGAGGGGGGCTTCTTCGAGGAGAGAGGGTCCGTCTACTGCACCAAGTGCCACGATAACCGATACGCTCCCAACTGCGCAAAGTGCAAAAAGAAGATCACAGGGGTAAGAACTGCACTACTGTGTTCAGCAAAACACAAACCAGAAACATGGAAATATTTTGCATTTGAAAAGAGCTGCTGCTTCACAGGGTTGGTAGTCTGTGATTTCTTTGTACAAGAAAATCTGGATCTGGTCTCCGCTGTACTCCAGCACCACTATAATAACCCGTTCTCCCTTCATCAGGAAATCATGCATGCCCTGAAGATGACCTACCATGTTCAGTGTTTCAAGTGTGCAGCCTGCAAGACTGCAATCAGGAACCAAGCCTTTTACATGGAGGAGGGCGAACCCTACTGTGAGAAAGGTAAGAGATTGAACTGCTCTGTCCTTTCTCTCAAGGACAGTGTCTTTCTCTCATTCAGACTTTATAGTACAACATTCTCCGTCACACATTCTAGAGGCTTCATGAAAGAGATGAAGGAATCTCCGTAGTGAAAACTCCTCTGCTGGAAACAAAGGGAAACGTCCTATTAATGTGGTTTCTAGAGGAAGAATGTAAGAAAACCGCAGCAGTAACCGCAATGGCTGAACAAACCGTGACACCCACAGAAACTCCAGGTTTAACATAAAACTCTCAACCTGAATTAAAGGCAACGCTGTAGCAGGAACACATGAAACACTGGCAAAGGTAAACAAGAAAAAGCATGCTGAAGATCCTCACTGTGCAGATTGATTAGTTTCAGCGCCAGCTGAGAATATCTCAACACATGTAAGACCCCCCCGTAAGTTAACACATGGATCAAGCCTTTCATGTTTATCCTAAATCTGCACTGGGCTCTAAGTGCATGAATGAACGGAGTGAGAACTGACACCCCGCCATGCAGCATTAAGTCTGTGATCGAGCTTATTTGATCAAAGATGTCGTATCCTTTTACTTTAAATGGATGCTGTTGCTAAGAACAGTGTCGTTCAGGCTACGTGACAGCAGCTGGGGTACAAAAGCAGTGAGATGCAGCCAGTCGTTGATTCAGCGGTCTAGCTGTGTGCATTTTCTGATATAGTTGTTTTCTTTTTGAATAAAAAATAGCTCACTGCCTCCAGTTTTCTTAATTTCCATATATATTATCAATATATTTGTAAAACATTGCATTGTTGTACTGTCACTGTGGGGTTTGGTGTGGGCCTACATCATGAATCTTTTGGCACAAACCACAGTTAATCATAAAGTGTGATGTTTTCATCTGCTGTAATCTATTTAGCTCCAGTTTACTTCATACATTTCTCTCTTGAACTTTATGAATGGCGTGTGTGCTCTTCTATTATGCTGCAAATGATTTAGCTAGGCCGGCGTGCTTCTCTCTCTCTCACCGCTGAGGCTCTGACGTGGATCGCTGGTTTATCAGAGGCGAAGCCAGAACCCGAGTACTCGTACTCTGAATAATGCCTTTAGCTCTGATAAACATTCTGCTGCCTCAGCATCTTTCAGGGACCGTGCCGCTCTCACTCTCGAGCAGCATTATAACATGACACAAGTATCTGGAGCAATTTCCCCTCATCGTAATCCCTCCCTTAAACTGTGGAGAGGCACTGATGTACGGTCGGTGGACAAAATACCGCAAACGCGGAGTATCAAATGAGGAGAGGAGCCAACACGTTGCTTCAAAACAGCTTCATCCATCACTTTTGCTGTCGTTCAAGTCCTCCTGTGTGTGTGTGTGTGTGTGTGTGTGTGTGTGTGCGCGTGTGTGTGTGTGTGTGTGTGTGTGTGGAGGGATATTACTCCCCTTCAAGAGCAAAATCCTTCAGTTCTGTTTAACCGATGAAAGAGAGATGGGAACCTATTTCACACTCTGTGCTCCAGAACACCCTACAAAGGTTAAGTGTTCACATAAGGTGATTGTGGAGGCCATGCCAGATGCTTGACCTGATCTCCAGGATGTTACAAGCCCTTTTTAATTAATTACATTCTGATCGATGTCCATCATATCACCTTCTCTCCTCCCCGCCCCTTTCTCACTCCAGACTATGAGAAGATGTTTGGAACCAAATGCCATGGCTGTGACTTTAAGATTGATGCCGGGGATCGGTTCCTGGAGGCCTTGGGCTACAGCTGGCATGATTCGTGCTTCGTCTGTGCTGTAAGTCATTTTGATTGATATGGCTCCCTGTGGGGCCCTCTTTGCCCCATCTATTCTGGCCACCTGAAAAATCTGCCTCCCATCTCTGGACCTCAAGCTTTCCCCCCCACTCTTGCTCTCTCTCTCTCGCTCTCTCTCTCTCTCTCTCTCTCTCTCTCTCTCTTTCGCCCTGTCACCTGCAGTCTATCACACTCTCCATCTCATTCTGTGAAGAAAACCGAAATTAGATGCAGTCAAGTAAAGAATATGTACCTGCTGTCCGGCCAGTCAAAAACAGTGTAAATTCACATTGGTAATGTTGAGGTCTGATATCGACTCTGCCCTTCTCTCCCAATCTGTCTCTGTCTGTCTCCTTTCATCTCTAAAGCTCTGTCAAATCAACCTGGAGGGGAAGACGTTCTACTCGAAGAAGGATAAGCCCCTGTGCAAAGGCCATGCCTTTGCTCCGGTTTGAGGGAGAGCGAGCTTCATCTTCAGAGGACGAAACGCTTCTCTCTCTCTCCCTCCTCTTTGCCCCACTCCGCCCTCCGGCGCACTCGTACACATTCTACTTCCCTTCATTCCAACCACACACACCTAGTCGCACTCGGTCTTTCTTCTTTCCTGCAGACTTTGTTTCAATATTTGAGGCTTACGTTTAGCTTCACATGCTGTTACTTTACTTTCGGACACACACATGTTGCTGCCTGTAATACCAAATGCCGTGTTGTATAACTGGAAGTAGTTAAGGAATTGTTTCATGTCATCACTAACCTATTGACTATATGTCCTTTGTTTTTAGAGCAGACATTAAAAAGTGCAGCTGCAGTTAATCTAGATTTAATTGTAGTTGCAACTCTACTAATCTCATCCTTCAATCTGAAGTGAGATTAAGTCGGTATCTTGCAAGGTGAAGGAGTCATTTAGCTTTTAATAATCCTACATATTGCAGTAATGATCTGCCTCTGCTCTCGTACTAAGTGTAGGGAAGTGGTTGCCCCATTCAGGACCCTGGCTGACTCACTTACTGCAGTGGCTATTAACATAATGGGGGTCCAGTCAAGCACAGAAGGGGTGTCCTATTTCTGCTCGACTGGAACTCTGCACACCGCTCCACAGAAGCACTAACTGCAGAATGTGCTGCGATTTGCCAGAGCAAAAGACAGAAGTAAAGTAGTTAATAACTGTAATTTTGAGCCACGAATAATCCTCAATTGCTCCAATTTTAATAGCCACACATGTGGGTGACAAAAAGAAAGAAACAGACTTGTTTTAAATGTTTCCCTCCCTCCCAGTCTTTTTGGAATTATCATTTGTTGGACATTTCATTGTAAGAAAAAAATAAAACATAAAGATGATTTCCCCCCCATGTTACAGTGATATTGGGATTATTCCTTAGAGTACTTTCTATTCATGGTCAAATTAGTATTTATATTGCTTCAGAATGGGCCTGTAAGTGTTGTTTTTTTATAGCTGTTGGACGTTTCAAATATAATAATGTAATGGTGCCGAGCGCTGGAGCAGAACACCAGGCTGAGCACATCTGTAAGGTTTTCTGTTGACTGATGTTTTTGCTGTCTTTGCTCTCACCAACACCTGCTCCCCAACAAGAGGACAATGGACTGTTTTTGCTCTGCTTCGTTGGAGCTTCGTTCCTTATAAATGTTTTACTTTACACGAACAGCTGTTGTAACAAAGTCCCCGGTGAATTCCTACAATGTTCTCTAAGTAGAAATAAATAATTTTACAATACTCATTTAGTCATTAAAGTCTGAATTAAGTATTCCTTTATTCAGAATGTGATTAAGAGTATTTTCCAACATGTCAAAGTATTTCTTTAAACGGAGCATCTTCTAGTCAAAGGGATGTTGAGTCTTTAAAGCGTGACAATATGAAACAAACGGGAGATCTATAACATGTAGAAGTACATATATGGTCCTTTTAAAAAATAAATAAATAAATTTAATCAGCAACGCCGGTTAATGTTTCAAGTGAGAGATCCAGTCCTTGAATTAACAATATATAATTTATTTACAACAATTTCAGATAGAATTACTATACATACCTTTCTGAAATGTCATAGATAGATATATATACATAAGGCCAAGTAAATACTTGAAAGCACTTAGAAACGAATTTCCAAAATTCTACCCACAAATCCATATCATTGTCCAAAAAGTACAGAAAATCTTCGTTAGCGGAAGTTTTCCATTGCCACAAAAGTTTTGACAACAATTTACATTGACGATAAGGAACACAAAAGGTAAAAAAACCAACAATAAAACAAAGGGATTATACAATTGCATAAGCGCTGTGGCATGTAATAAATACAGCATTTTTGACTTGCAGAAAGGCAAGAAACATTGAACCAAGGAACTAAATACAAAAACCATTCACAAGTACAGAAGTCTATTCTTGTGACAGGGAGGTATGCACACACCCAGTCTCACTCGCGCACACACACGTACACACGTCCTTGACACTGAATAGTAATGAGTGACACAAAACGTACAGTTTGTGAGATGAAACAATTTCCCCCATAACCTATAAACCCTTGAACGAAGCGTGTGTGTGTGTGTGTTACTGACACAAGTCTTACACAACTATCAGGCCCAGACTTCATCATGAAGGAACTGTATTCATCACAGACACAGTAATCGCAGATTTGTTGGACAAGTTATATGTGAAGACAGATGCTGAACATCATGGCGGCTGGTGAATTACATTACTGAAAAGTGCTCCGACAACATCCAAGACGATGACGAGGGGGGGGGGCTGATAAAATGTCACACACACACACACAGTCTGACTGTACAACTGCCATGGCTCATCTAAACGTGCTGCGTCAGCACAGGCTCGTCGGTGTCCGAGAACTGAGGTCCTCTTTCCCCACCTGGCCTCCACACAGTCCCAGTGTAGTGACTCACTAAGCATTAGTGACTATTTCCACCTTATATTTAAATGATGCTTACACGTAGAGAAATAATCAGGTAGACATATGCAGAGTAAGGACGAACAAAATATGTATAGAAACTTCCTGTAAAACAGTCTCTAAACCCTTAACACTGCAAAACGTCGTCACTGCTAGATCGCCAAAGAACAGTATATAGGCAAACACGTCACGGGTTAGACTTGACAAATGCTGCGCCAGTTAAGTGTCTTTTTTTGGCTTCATATTAAAATATAATTTACATTTCTTTACAAAGTGATAAACCGACACGTATTACTGCTTGAACAAACGGCGTTAACTTGCCTCAAAGACAAAAGTGAGGAAATGAGATAAAGAAATGATTTGGACCTTTAAGTCCGCAGTTTAGAAGAGACAGCAACTCTGACTTATTCTATTCTACCCGCAAGTAAAACGACGCTGAAAGGATATTCAATGGATACAATGCGAGTATGAAGTAGCCTCAAATGATATTCATAGAACTTTGGTTACCAATTCTGCTCATATACAGTATGCAAAGTGACGGCACACGTCTGGTATAGAAAAAGTATTTACACGTGACGATGATCCATTTCAAGATGAAAAGATTGATTTAAGGTGATATCGCCATTTTGTCCTAAAGGGGCTTGATCCCAGGGATGTTTAAAGTGAATAAAAAAGGTATTTTATCTCATGGCATCTCTGCATCAAATCGTACAGGGCTTGTAAAAACGTGTTGGTTCAAGAGGAGGCCTGTTCAATAGGATGAGAGAGAGCCAACTGGTGCTGAAATGCCACACGAGAACAAAGAACTTCCAAGACTTCAAAAAAAGGACACAAAAAAGAAAAGGGCTTTTCAACATTTTTCCCCACTACAGGAAAAATAAATGTACATTCCAAATATCTGACAATCATAAACGAGGCTCCAGTTAGTGTTAAAGGTTGAAGCCACAGGAGCTGGTAGGATGGGCGGTGCTAGCTGTTTGAATAAGGAGGGATTCAATGAGAAGGGCTCTCTTTACAACTGTAACAGACTTCTTCACATGCAACCCTGAGGCAGACGCAGAGAGAACTATGGCTAGGATTGCTCACACCTTTTCAAAGTACAATTACTGAAACAGTGGATTTGAAAGATAACCTGTGTATTTATTTTTTGTGGCCAGACCTGACAAAGCCATTGTTAAAAAATAAATATAACTAAATTAAAGGGAAAATTTGCCGATTTTCAAACTCCTCTCTTATCTGTCCGAGTTGGCGGTACAGTGTGAGATCCACTGTGTCTCTGTTGTTCTTCCTGCATCCAGTGACGTGGCTGTGACGTCGTTGGAGGCAAGAAAGAACTACGGAGCGCTGATTCAGCTTTGGCAGCTGTGGGGCACAATGCTGCTCAAAAAAAAACTGCGAAAATGGCGTCCCAAAATCCGCAGAGGATGTTGTCGACAAGTTTTTTTTTTTTTTTTTTTACCGTGTGCATTTTACCGTGTTTTTGCTGACTGAGATATTCAGCCGCAGTGGGGGGGATATGGCCGACAGGGACCCTCGAAATCTGCGCTGCAGAGGCCAAACGACTGATGGAGCCTTTGCTCAACTCGCCCTCCGATGCCGACAGAAACGGAATCATGCTGCAGAATTTACAACCGCAGGAGAGCAACAATCGCCCTGCTGGTCATGTTTGTCATTGTATTTGCTAATTTAACAGGTTAATGGAGGAGTGAGGGCCACCAGCGCGGCAGCAAGGTGAAAACCGGAGTTATTGATCGTTGACACAGTGGAAAAACTAACGGACTTATAGATTTGTTGAGAATTCAGAAGGTGTCTGGTTGTATTTTTATGTTATGGGGTAAGAGTATTTCCTTCATTGACATTTTGTGAGTTTATTTATCAGACTTAGCGAACTCGCCGCTCGCGTGCCATTCATCCTGTTTCATGTAGGCACAGCCGGTCAATATAGCACAGCTGGGGAATTTATATTCTTCAGAGGACTACATTTACCATCAACACTTATTGGACATCCATATAAAAAGGTGGCGAATTTTCCCTTTAATGCAAATTAGCAAAATATAATAATCGAATGCTTCATAGCAGTTTATGATTCGTTGCATAAATCTGCTGGATAATTTTTTGCCATCCTGGCTGGAAATGACAAAGAACAGAAAAACCTTTCAAAGCATCTTTTGTGAGCAGAGGCGTGACATTATGCAGAAGCGACTCTCCACTCTCTCTGAGAGACGGCTGCTTGTTCTTGATGTGTAAATACCGTTCGCCACACAGCAAATATAGAATTCCCACCAACATTGCTTTATGAATGATAAAAACAAAGCCTCACAACTACAACTGCCCTTTCATTGTGAGTAGTCTGGTGAAGATTTTGAGATTTTTTTGTCAGATTTTCTGTGGGGGAAGCAATCTGCACTATTCATATAGGATAATAAGCCTTTTGGCCACACTGTATGTTTAACATCATCTCTGCTACAGAATTAATGCAATCAGGGGAGGGGCGGATGTCATTTCATAAATCAATTTTGCCGACATTCAGCGTTCACATATATGCAGCAGGAAGTCATTAGAGGCGGAGTTTGAAACAGGAAAAACAACACAATGAACGATTAGGGCTTTGAATAGAAATGGCGTTTTGAGATATGACTTTAGTGAAGATATTACTCACTCACTCACTCCCTCAAAGAACCCAAACCCCACATATATTGATTTAGAAGCGGGGAAGCCGTGAAGCGTCTCGCTGAATCAAGATGTCGAGATGTTACATTCACAGTAGTGATACCGGCTGGACTAAAACACAATCGGGATGAGACAGGTTTTTTTGGGCCTCTGACATACAATCTATTTAAAACCTGCAAGTCCAGGATGTGCTACAAGCTGTCTGTGTGTGTTTTAAGAGAGAACGGATAATGACACAAATAACACATGGACCTATTTAGTCTTACTGGGTTTTGGGAGGGTGCGTTCACAGACCCTGATGACCTTGATGAGAACGTGTTCAGTGTCTGGGATGATGTCATGTAACGTAACTGGCCAATTGCATATGTCGCCTGTTCTCTCTAACCTGAAATGACTGGCACCTTTTGTCACATCCATATATTCTTAATATTTAATCCAAGTTCAAAAATTATTCATTGAATTTTCAATATTGGCCACCAGTGATATCATTAGGTTTGCATATTGCTCCTTATTAGCCATAAACGGCCTATTTATATAAAAGGCATGAAGTCAATCGAATGTTATCTTTAAAGTAAAACCGGGGTGTGGACTAATTTAACTTCAGACTCTGATGGAAAATGAAGGGTATTTTTCTTTACCACGTTCATGAATACATCTCCCCACACAGCCAAACTCTCTTTTGTTCTGTCTTTGAAAGAGTTCTACTCTGTTCGGTGGGATATAGGGATTCAATCCTACATAAACCCTTACATCTTCTTAAGTGAAGAAGAGGGACATGGGGACAGCTTTGCTCTTCGATTCCTGCTGCTGTAATAAGTGTGTTGTTTTTGTGTGTGTGTGTGTGTGTGTCTACTGTTGTGTTCTGTACTTTTCCTCTTCCCCAGTCTCTCCCCCTTTTCTGGGTTAGCACTCGCCATCAGAGACCAGGAAAATCATGGCTTCTTGTTTGCCAATGTCAGCCATGACCGTGGCCAGCTGGTTGATGTTGCCGGTGTGGAAATGTTGTGCCTCCCACAGGTCCAGGATCACAGAGGTTGGGCTCGCTTTGGATGCAAAGAAACTCATGTGTCTGCAGAGAGAAGAACACAAACATAACGGTGAGGGAACAGTGAAGACGTCTTTGTTAAAATCAAGCGATGTGCACGTATCAAAGCCAACAGTCTCTGATTTTTTTCTACAATAACAAACATTTCCAGACGGTATTTTATAGCGCCACAGCTTCTTGTGACTCTGTCAATGCCAAGTTTTATTGTCTGTTATATTGCTACGTCCCCATATGTTGCAGCACTAAGCAAAAAAATGATAAAAGGTATTAGAACACAATCTAGCTGCCATCTAATACACAATCTCTGGCAATTTTCATTTGAAGCTTAGCAGCATAATCCTCATTGCTCTCTATTTGATGTTGAAATTGGCCCTAAATCCCATATAGTAAATCCTATATAGACTTTTCACAGTTAAGTCGGAAGTGACCTTTTCCATTTTAGGAGCAGAACCTTTACGATCAAACCCAATCAATGACAACAAAGCAGTGGCCCCAGCCAGCTGTATATTTGATGTTGAGTGGGACCTGATCCCTGCGGTACCTGAAGATGCTTGTTTGATTTAATGGCCTTTTTCTGTTCTCCAAATGTCTGGGGCCTTAACTGTTATGTAGAGCACACATGACATTAAAAAAAAAAAAAAAAAAGAGAGAGAACAGCGTAAAGCGATGGCACAAAGGGGGATTGTGTTGTGAGACGAGAAGCCCAAAAACAGCCTTTTTACCTTGAGAAAGGTCAGACAGAGTCCATTACTGCCTCGTATCTTCTGTTTGCCTAGTGAAGCATACTGTGGTGGTTATAAACACGTGGCTGCTTTGGCAGTGCACAAGCACCGAGAACACAGTGCCACTCGGCTATTTTGAGTCAATTGGATTTTTATAGTGCAGGCAGCCTTCCCTCTGCGTCGGGAGAACACAACAAAGAGTTGGTCAAAAAAATTGTCTGGGAACGAACCTCTGTGTCATTATTCGAGATTAAAAAAAAAAGAAAAAGACAGAGCTTAGCGTCCGACGTGTCAGCCCCGCTTAGTCACCTCGCTGTGTGAAACACGAGCTTATCTTGTACGGCTCAGACGCAGCCGTTTGCTCAGTCTTAGGAGAGAAAGATCAAATAAAAGGTTCTTGGCATTTTAAGTTTTATTGATTGGTCCCGTTCCGCTCGGTCTGAACGCTTTACACACACAGAAACAAACACAGAAATACTGCATGACAGAATGCCAAGGGGCTGCTGCCTTTCCAGGAAAACATGTTGTTAAGGACAGATCAAACAGTAGAGCAGTTGTTCCTTCCTGAGGCCTAAATGAGAATTGATTATGTTGAGCAAAACATTGCTAATTAAACCCGTAGTGCATCAATTCAATTTGTGATTAATTGGGGTAAATAAAGTTGATTGGACAAATTAAGTGTAGGAGGTAGAAATTAAATTGGTGGAGGATAAGAGATCGATGCCCGGCTCTTTTCTGTTACAGGTACTCCTGTGATAAATTACAGTAACGGTGAGAACGAATAGAGGTCGGCACAGATCCAAACCTATTCCGTCTTTTTTTTTTTTTTTTTGTTGCCGCTGATGGGCAGCTAGCTCGCTACCTTTCCAATTATAACTGTTAAGCAGAATGTAGCAGGTACAAGTTTAGCTGCAGACTTTAAGCTGCTTACCTGTTCCTGAGGGGGGAAAAGAAGAAGAGGGTCGTGTTTTCTCACAGAAATGATAGCTGTATCCATCAAGTCCACATTAATCCTGTAACGTTCGCTGTGTCAAATGAGGATTAGCCTGCTAAGGCAGAACTTTGTTTACCTGAACTTTAGGGAAAACATTCGACTGCTGTGATGTGCTTTACACTGATTGTGCAATCAGTGGCGTTCCATAGTAACATGTTACTGCTTCTTTAGTATCGCAATCAGTGTAATTACATGTTAATTATTGTAAACAAGCGGTGTGTTGAGTGCTGTACGTATACATGTACCGCTGTGCAGCCTCTATTCTCAAGGGGTTTGGATAAATGAGGCTCTGCTGCATTTCTTGAGTGCCTTTGTGTAAGCTGCCTTTTCCAGCGCGCTCCATTGATCAGTGATCAGAAGAGGCATTATGGTATTGTGCGGTTGGGTATTTACCTCTCTAGTTTAAGTCTTTGTGCTAGCATTCTCCAGTCGGCTCCGTTGGGACAGGGGGCATCCAGGCTGCTGCAGATCTTCTGCCTGATGAGGTACGGGATCTGAAAGGCGCTGGGTCCTGCCAGAGCTGTAGCGTTACTGTCCATTAACAGAAACTCAGAGTCCACGGCTCGGGTGTCCTGGTAGGAATGACGGCCACAAAGCACGGTATGAGAACAGTTCCTGCGTGACTAAAGAAAATGCTGAAAGAAATCGTGGCTGTGCAATCAATGTGCTGGTTTCTAAGCGAGTTATTATGCCGAACGTTACCTTGGCAATGTTAAAGTCAAGGCTGAAGCTCTGTCCCTCTCCCTCCACCTGCCACACGCACAGCTGGCAGGTGAGCTCGCAGGTGCTGAGGCTGAGCCGCTCCAGAGTGAACGTGCAGTGCAGGTACCGCTGGGAACCGTTCCAGATGTGGTAGAAAGGGATCTCCTGCAGAACGAACACGCAGCACAGACAAGCGGCAGCGCAGCGGCGCAGTTAGAACTGCGTGTCTGAAACATGCCGTAACAGGACCGCCTGCCTAGAATACACTGAGATCATCATTAATTACACTGACATAAGCCGTCATCGTTAGGTGAAAGTGGCTAAATATATCTGAGGCAGCAGACTGACAACAGGTTAAAGGGAGATAATAGGCTTTTATTGAGAGGGAGTTCATATCTGATTTCATAAGAAATACAGATAACACACCATATCTTTACTTCTGGCATAACAAATATTTTCTATCCATTATTTTTCAGTTGATTCAGCCTCTCTTTGCAGATATGTACTGTGTGCATTTCCCAGGCAGACCTTACAAATGATGCTGATGGTGTCCAAGCTGAAACATCACAGCTCTACTCTGAATCTAAAACACATCATGTGACATAGAGATGTATATCCGCATGCATAATGGCGCTGAGTGGTAACGCTGAGCTGCATCAGCTTCTGTCTACCTGGCAGTGTTTGCCAGAATTTATTCAAGGCTGACAATTTCTACATCTTTCTCTCTGTTGCTCCATATTCATGCCCTCATTTGTATATCCCAAGAGAAGCAAGGCGGTAACCCTGGAAAAAAACAAAACTAAACAGGGCGCACTAAACTCCTCACTTCACCCTGGGTTCAACAGCTGTCAAGAACTCAGTCTGAGAGCGAAGTGGAGCTGTAGATCCCGCTGCTAACCAAACGGGGGCACTGTTACCCAGGCAGACGGATGACCGGGGGAGTTGGCTGAAACGGGGGCCCCGGGGAGACTAAAGGCCTTTTTTGACCACGCTGCTGAGAGGGGAATAACACTTCCAAATGAACAGGCACAGTCCAGAAGAATAAGCCTCTGTTCTGGGTGCATTGTTGGTGCCGCTGCTTGCCTGGCACAGCCCGTGTGTTCTCTATGGGGACCTGGTGCTCAGTGCTTGTATAGTTACAGCCAGAGCATTTTCTAGTACTTTGAACAGCCCTCATGTCGTCGCCGGGCTGCAGTGCAGTGGGCCATGCAGGTGTGGGGGAGTGCAGTGGAGGTGGAGAGGTTCCAAGCGTCCGTTTGGGAAGTTTAGATATTTACATACAGTACTGCTCTATATTTCATCTGAGCTCCCTTTTTAAGGAGAGCGACAGCGAAGGATAATCAATCAGCTTGCAGCTCTGGGTTAGTGCACACAGCCCAGCTCCATTATGCACACGACTACACCACGCGCACAGGAGAACAAGCGGACGAAAACATGCACGCTCTACGCACACACACACCCAAAAGGTTCCCTCGACTCCAGCAAATGACTTAAGTTGCGCACATTGCCAAGAATGGAAAGGTTATTAGACAGAGGAGTCCTGCAGTAACGGACTGAAAAACACTCCTTTGTGTGAATCTTTAAAGTGATCAACTGAAGCCAAAGCAAAACATTTAATTAAAACTCTGAACCAACTGAAATTAAAACAACTTTCCAGAGAGAGCCTCATTAACGAGCTGTTTCTGAAGAACTTTCAACTACGCAGTAACATTGCTTTTGCCAGCAAAAACTCAATTCTTCTTTAATTTCTCTGGCTGGCTAATTTAAAATAACTCAAGACGACATGGATTTCAAATTGTGTACACAAACAAACACATCAGAAAGCACCATAACAGCTGATACTGATATACATTTGACAGATTCAGCCAGGCACTTCAATTACATCTCCGTGCTCCCGCTGTGATCTGGAGCCCCCCCCCCCCCAACACACACCTGGTAGCCAGCCAGCAGCTTGCTCCTCCAGTGCGCCTGGGGCATGTCATGGATGGACAGGCGCAGGTTGTGGTAGCTGTCTTTGAAAAGCAGGACGTGAGGCTCGTCGATCAGCCGACCCCCGAGCTGCCGCTCCATCTGCATCACCTCCTGATGAAAGGGGAGTCAGGGGAAACACATTTACCTTCGCAGACACAGAGGTAGGTAAAAATGTGCAAAACAATCCATAACTTTTTACATCTTTTTTTTTTATTTTTATGGTGCATCACTCAAGAAAAAACAAGAATTTGTCCACATGCACACGCACACAGGAATACAAAACAAGACATGGGCCATGGTAGGAACACACACACACACGCACACACACAGACACACACAGCACAAGCATGAGGCAGGGGGACAGTACATCTTAGGACTGGAAGATAGTGTCCCTGCATGCGGCCACAGCGGGCTGGTGCTGCTCGTCTCCACAGCACTTTAATGTCACCACAAGGTTGATCCCCCGCCTCAGTGTGTGTGCGCCCAGCTTCCAGCAACTGCATTAGCATGCAAATACCGCAGCCATCCCGGCCTGCTAGCTACCTGGGCTGTGATGAAGGCAGAGAACGAGCCATTAGTCAACTGCTCATTGTTCTCGCATGGTCAATCGCCTTAATTTCATTTTTGTTTTTGTGCCAGGAGAGATTTGTAAATGCGTGCTTAATATTTTAATCTCTGTGGGACTTGCTCAGTGGACCATTTGTTACCATCCAAATGACCATCTGGAATGGGATGATAATATCCGCTGCATTTTCCTCTGATCTATCAATTCATTTTGAGCCGCATGCTTTGTGCTGAACAAGTCTTTAAGACTCTAATACTTTCGATGGCGTTCACATGTGCTACCTCCGATGAGAAGAGCATATTACCACAGAGGAAAACAGACCTCTGAAATGAGAAGTGTGAAAAGACCTGAAAAACAAGATATGTTCTTTTAATCTGTCCGAGGAGGGAAACAAGATGGCAGCAGAAGGACAACAGGCAGCCAGAATGTGCCTCGGAGTCTAGGAGACGCATCTCAAAGACAAAGGCTCCAAGAGGGAGATGTGTGTGTATAGATAGTGGCCATATGTTGAGCGTTGCATGCCAGCATGGCTGCCCGTGGTTTGATTTCAGCGAAGACATCTAATTAAGGTGGAGAATGGCAGCTATTTCTGCACAATGCAGATTCAATTTTCTGCCCTCTTTCCCAGGGATGGGCTTCTGATTCCAATTGCGATGGAAAGGAAGCTGTTAATTATCCATCTGCAATCGCTATCTGCTTTTGTTATTTGATGTGCTCTCTCCATCACTGAATAACCACATTTTGGTTCGGCCCCGCGAATTTCATTCCCATGTTTGCTCAGCGCATCGCTAATTTCCATGTTTGTTTAGTGCTTATCTTCTTGTTAACACGGATATTATTCCCCCTGTGATTATCCATCTCCATTCCCTGCATTTACATATGTTCATTCCTTTTACCCAAATGCCACAGCACATTAAAGACGGACAGTGATCTGACTGTATGCAGCTCGCGAGAATAGTCTCCTCCCTGTGCTGCCACGCCGGAGCCTTGTGATGTTACCCACTTACTCAGAGTGGGAAGGTCAGACAATGGCTCTGAATCAAAGCGTTGAGGTCTAATGAGTTAATAACAGGGGGCACTGCATTCTCCTTAGAATTAAAAGCCCTGTTCCATTATATCTCTTCGGCAGACAAAAGCCACATTATGAGGGCTTCCAGAGAGGTTTATTTAACACAGTTCTTAAGGACAATTATTTGTTGGGGGCGATTAGCATTGCAAAGTAGGGCTGATGGACTTTGATCGGGTCTTTCACCTATAGCAGCAGATCTTTAGGCCTGTTAGCAAGAGAAGGCGTGCAGAACGCCAATTATGTTATTATCAACACTAGTAGAATGAATACTAACTCGCCTGTCTAGCAGTTTGTCAAGTTCAAGGCTGACACGGCAGGATTACAATCAAACGGGGTCTAGGGCACAGCGCTCCTGCAACCTGACAGGGACACTGAGCTTACTGAGGGAAAAAAACACAACAGGGGATGATACACTTCCTCCTTTAAAGTGTGTCCTCCTCTCTTTCAAATGACACTGTCTCGCTTGTATAATGTTTATGTGTGCCTGAGTGCCTGTGAGTGTGTGTATTAGAGTGTGTTTTTGTGCAGGGTTTCAGCGTATGTTCTGGACTGAGAGAATAATGGCCCTCTTTACGCCCCATTATCCTGTTAACAAATGACAGTGTGAGCGAGCTAATAGATGAGAAGCTAAATTTGACCATATTATTTACTCTTTCTGGGGGAAAACAATGCAACGCTTTGAATTAGTTTATCAAATCACATATTAATCATCAGCTCTCAGCTAAATTGTGTTTCCGCTCAGTGAAGATAAGGATAGCAGTTTCTCTTTGGACACCCTGACCCTGTACAACTGTGGAAACATTAAGATGCATGAGATGGGCGAGAAGTTCAAGTACTGCATGAGAAAAAAACCCTTTTGTTCTGACGGAATTCGAGATAGCCTGTGGTGTGTGTGAAGACTGTGAATTTAGAGTCGGGCCGAGCCAAGACCACCCCCTGACATTCAATGAGGCTGGCTAAAGAGAGTGAGATAGAGCAGGAAGGAGTGAAAAGAGTAGGAGCTGGAGAGAAGAGAGACAGAGGCAGCTTAACATTTGTGTCTCCAGGTCACTAGAGTGGCCGGCTTTAGTAGGAGAGATAACAGGATTACTGCAATCATGGCCACAGTTTTTCTAAGACTTCAACCCCCTTCCCACCCTCACTCATCTCCCAAACTGCTCCTCACCCATCCCATCATCCTCTCGGCTTGGACCGGAGCTGGGACTGTGATGGACTGGGGCTGGGCTCCACTGGGAAACAAGAGACACTCATACAGCTAATCTCTTCGGGCTGGTGCTGACAGAAAGAGGTTAGTGGCTGCACCAAACTCTCTCTCTCTCTCTCTCGCAACACAAACAGCCGGCCAACGGATGCAGGAAATCAAAGTAACAGCAGAGGCCTATGTATGAATATATAAAAAGAACTGGACTGGGTCAAAGCTGCTACTTTCCGCACAGCAAGGTCAAGCTACTACATGTGGTCTTTCTTCTATTGTTCTGGATCGGTGTGTAATAAACCGATTGACTTAACTAGCTCTGATGGGGACTATAACTTGCGTTAATTAGTCAAGCTACATGTCATCTGAAACGTAGAGAGATACAGAGCCTTTAATATCCGCATAAACTCGGCCTCACCCCTCAACTCTTAGCAATGTTATATCCCTGTGTGTTTAAAAATGTGCATTCATACGACAATCCATTTTCAGAGCTGCTCCTTTTCAGGCAAATGCATTTGTTTATAGAGAGTAGCCTGGCTATGTGGGCTCCATAAATCTGTGTATTTGTCAGCAGGATGTGACAGGCTTTTCCTCTCTGACTGAGAGTCTATCAGTCTGAGCTCCAGTGGCCGTGCCCGCTACAGTCAACTCTGATTAATAACTACAAATAGAAGGGACTTGTCTGCTCAGTTATAAATGGGTACTGCGTTTGCTGGGGAAAAGATGCACATTCTGCTTGATAAATCACAGAGCAGGATGGGAGGAAAACAGCACACAGGAACACAGAAATATAATATGGAAACAATTTCTCTGCTGGGCTCAGTGATAAAGCTGACTGTCTTGTTTAACGTAATGCCAGCAATTACTGAGCAATGCTCTTGTTTTTGTTTTTTTGCCTAGAATTCATTGCCAGTAACTTTTCTGATGGAGAGATCAGAAAAACGGTATTACACTCTGTGCATGCTGGTTCTCTCTCTCTCTCCTCTGGTACATAAAAGCAAAATGTTTCTGCTCAAATGCAGCTCGCTGCTCAGGAGTTGAGAAAGAAAATGTCATAGTGGAGGCAGCACATAAACTGTTTATGAGCCCTTTTATACGCAAATGAGAATAATAGCTTGAGGTCAAACGCTGTATAAAAGACTCCGGGAGCCACTGGTTAACCAGTTGGACATCAATTAAACACACATTTAACACTAGAACACACATCTTTACAATCGAGGGTCAGACAGCATAATGTATTGGCCTCGTTACATGAACATCAATGAAAGCGTAAATTCTGAATAGAGTCTGAAATACAATACTGGTACTACAAAGGGAGCTAACTAACAACATTTTATGGCTGCTAGACGTCACTTAAACTCACTACAATGGTGCTTAAAGAGTCCACAAGCATGCTAGCAGCTCTGTGAGGCTACACTTAGGCACAGCAGTGATTAAAGCTAAATGCTAACATGCTCATTGCTCACAATGGCAACACTAACATGCTAATGTTAAACAGTATTAGCACACTAACATTTGCCAATCAGCACCAAACACATAGCAAAGCCGAGGCTATTGGGAAAAGCATTTCTTTTATGGCACTAGAGGACAAGTCAGAAAGATGAATCCTTTACGTACATGAATGTCTGCACAGAAAACATTCATGGCAATCACAAGATGGTGGATCAACATGGCCATCCATAGATGTGCCACTTACAGGGCAAAAAAAAAGGATTTTCATTGCAAAATCTACTGGATTAGTATTTATTGTGGTCCCTCAAAAGATCTCGCACTCAATACAGAAAAAAACTGACTTCAACCTCTGTAAAAAAAATGAATCTGACAGAAAGTGGGTGGTTTAGAATTAATGTGTTTTTTTGGGGAGTTTTTTTAACAGTAGAGCAACACCGGCCTTTCAAAACTAGGACTGGTGGGTGTAAAGGAAGGATTTGGTTGTCAATAAACACCGGGATATGTTGTTATTGTCCACTATTGAAGTGTGGATTATGCTAAGTGGTAAACATACGGAGCATTTTATCCTTCACACCAAAAGCTGACAGATTCTAAATATTGCAGATAGATACAAATAAATAAATAAATAATAATAATACATTTAAAAATTAAACAAATAACTAGCTGCACCATTCCAGTCCTAAAAAGACACCTTGGTTGGCACCCTCCCAGTTTGATTAGATGATGCCGTTAGGTCTGTCTCTGCTGAATCGGAAGCTTGGTTCACTGCAGGTGTTTCAATCAGTTGTGTGATGGCAGAACATCAGTGAAGCTCTCCCACGGGTCTAGCTAGGAACAACCGAGTGCACAGTGAGGGTGCCACCAAACGCAGATCATGTCTCCTCTGCTGCTGCGCCAGCCTTGGCTGGGCCCATCAAGAGTGGGACACACATTAAATATTAACTTAATTGGTCCCGGCAGAGCCCTGCTAACATACGGCAAGCATCAGACGGAAATGTCACTGTTTCCCCAGAGCCCCCGCACACTTAGGATCAAAGACGATAACATTGGTTCTAATCTGCTGTAATTGGGAGATAAGAGATTGCATGGTACAGCATGCATAAGTGCAGCGTGAAGGCGTGTGTGCAATGTTTGTGGGTGTGCGTATACATGTCATTCTCACTGATGGAGGCTTGTCAGAGAAGACTGACAGCCAGCCACGGGACTGGAGAGAAAAGCTCAGTATCCCTTTTGGTTTCTGCAGTTCTCCCTGCCACTGAACAGCCAACAGAAAAGGCAGAGGGATGCTGTTCTGTTTTTTTCATCTCCCATCAAAGGTACAGCCTGTTTAATACATGGGAAGTCGACTTCTTTTCTGGAAAAACGAGAAGCAGGGCCTTAGCAGGCTGCAAATGCTGTCATAAAAATGCACATGCGGTGAAGGTGTACTGTACATCAACTAGAATATACAAAGAAAACCGCTGGTGTGCCACTCCACCGTACCACCTACTGCTACACCCCCACTGTTGCACACTTCAATTAACTCAAATGTTAGCCATAGTGAAAGTCTAATCATAAATGGTGCATTTTAAAGATAGTGATTAGTGATTAGGCTGAACCTCTCCAGGGAAGTTTAATCTCCACTCAAAGTGGTTAATGTACTTGCTAAATGAACTGCTCCCTCCGTAATAGCACCAGGAGTAGTGTGAAGTCGAGATTACTAAAGAGTGTGGGCCACATTCTAAATCACTCACTAAAAACTACAAAACCCTGGAGACGCCGTGGCTTACCACAGGTCCAGGTTGTGTGAGAGACGGGGAGCTAATGCACTCAAGGGCATCGAGGGAGCCGCAGCGTATGGCAGCACAAGTGCTGGAGTCAACAAGCTCAGATGTCCTTTTCCTGGCTAAGAGATGGGGAGAATAGCAGAACAAGAGCTATCCAGGGGTTGAGAGAGCGAGAGAGAGAGAGAGAGAGGGGGGGAGAGGGAGAGGGGGAGAGGGAGAGAGTTTCTGTGCACCAGCAGCCCTCCTGCATCCAACGCAGGACGTGCAAGGTCATTTCAACAGTCACACTGCAGCAAAACACCACAGGGTCACCCGGTGATCTAAATATATAGAGACAACTCTATCATTACAACTGGTTTGACAGCAAGTAAACAAAAAGGCCTGATATGTACAGGCTTTACCTCCTGAATGCTATATTTCTTTTCTACATAAGAACACAGAATGTCAGCCAGCAATATCTCTGAGCGAGCTGGCTTTCATGCAACAGCTGTCAGTAACAGAAAGATAGCAGCATGGGCAGGATTGAACCACAAAAAGACAGATGTAAGCAAGAGAGGTTTTGGTAATTCTCACGCCACAGCTAGAGCCTGCTCACTGTTTTCATCTCAGCTTCATCGCAGAGCCCCCACTGCCTCCCATTGCTTGTGTCCCACAGACAACCGTAGAAGGTGCCGGTAGCAAACCTCTGCACAAGGAGGTCAGCCATTACAGCTGGCAAAAGTGGACTTCAGTGGGAAGTGGCTCTTGTGGCCGGTGTCAGACGAAGAGGAAGAGCTTGGAGAGAGGTGTGGAGGGAAAGAACGAGAGCACAGGGGTTGCTGGGAAAAGATTGGGGCAGGCTCTCCTTTTAATTTACTAATTAACCATGCAAATGAAATCTTAACAGGCTACTCAGAGGCAGTCCTCGGGGGAGGGAGGAAGGCATTAGTGCTTGATTATACTCTGTCCATGTGGAGAGCAAAAATGAGAAGCGAAATATGCTATTGAACAAAGTGATGGGAAACTTCTCGACCCACAGCAGCCAAGCGGAACCACCGACCGCATGAAAGGAATTTAAAGGTGCGAGATCGGAGATTTGGAGCATGTGGATTGCCTCTCAACGGCTCTCAACATAGCAAACGGTGCTAACGGGGCTAACTGCGCCAAAATTGCTGACAGAGCGAACAGTGTTTACCGGAGGGTGGGTGCTACGCTTCCACAACGGCGCTGTCGGTCGGCATGGCGTGATCAGCTGTAACCGCCGTATGAGAGCAGTGCAGAGCGGCGGCTGTGAGCTAACCAGTGGAGCACGCTCACATGCCAGAACAACAAAGCAAAGAGACTCTGCTCAGGTAGACATCACTCCACTATATCTTTACGTAGCACATTGCTGTTTGCTGCTTAATTAATGCTCTGAATGTTGAATACAGCTCTATAACATCTCTATAGGCATGCACACAAGAACACACTAAGAGATTGTACTGTATACCATCATTAACTTGGACAAATGCATTGTTTCAATAGTGGGGGAACATAAGCACCGCAAATCACACACCCTTGAACTGCACATGGTGTAATCAGGCCTGCGATATTGTTCAATTTACCATGGCAACGCCTAACTCCTACATGCCTGCGCCGCTTTCTACTAACCTTCCAATGTGACAGACAATGCTATTACACATAATAGTCTACCTATCACTCAGGTGCCGCATGCAATCTCAGGCCTGAGAAACTGCCAGCCACACAGAACAACAGGCGTTCCATTTGTCGCAGATTACCTTGAAAATGTCTTGTGTGTCATCCATGCAGTAGACCCTGATGTTGTACTCCAGCGTGGAGCAGTACGCGTCGGAGAAGAGCACCAGCCTCAGGCGCTTGGCAGCGCCCATGTGCAGGGATTCTCCCACCAGGGCGAGGGTGCCCAGCTGCTCGGAGAAAAGCCGGCACGTCTCGGCCTCGAGCTGGCAGTAATAGGGCTCCGACACTAGCTCCTCCCCCATCAGCAGGACGTCCTGGAGGAGGCGAGGCGGGGAAAAAAAAAACCAACACAAATTGGATGGAAGGTCAAGCACTCAATTTATGTAGGCGGGAAGGGTAATGTGTTTGCCTGGGTACCTGATGTCTGTATGTGTGGGTGTGTGTTTGTAAAGGGGTTTGGCACAGTAGCAAGGCCTCAAACTATGTCCCTCCTGCAGTGTGACGAAGTAACATTTAAGCCAAATGTAATGTTACATAAGAGTCTTGCTTCAAATTCCCTTATCATTGCATTATGCTTACTCCATACTGGCATAAAGACACACATAGGACAGCATCAATTCACTTAATAATGCATGAACGAGGTAAAGGGATTTCTGGAATTCCCTTCAACCTTTGAGATTTGTGAAAACTTGTCTATTTATCTGCAAAGCAAGTATCACATATTATTAGCAAGTAGGGCCGTATCACAACTGCGTCTCTAATAAAGATGACAGACTTGCGAAAATATCGCATCCCATCATAGTACGGGATGGTTTTATGAGATAATTCCACTGCTCTGCGGGCTAATTTGATGGGGACAAATTGGACCCAAGGTGACAACATTTTCTCTAAAATCCCATCATGCCAGTTGACTGACTCCTCTCATTACCCAATCAAGCTGAAGAGAGCATTTTGCCTGCCAAAAGCCCAGCAAGCCCCTCTAGGATCGATTCAAGCAGACACCATCTACATCAATAGAATTAGTATTGACACGATTCATTTGCTATGCAACCACAATGGAGTCTCACTTTTTCATCATCTTAATATTTCTTCGAGGTGGAGATTACGCCACTGAGCGCTCACTCTACAAGCAATTCATTTCTCCTTCACCTTCTGCTCCTGCACGTCCATTTTCACCATCTCTTTTCCTCTCTGCCTCCTTTCTTTTAGTTTCCTTCTCTTCACTCTCTCTCTCTGCGGTTGCTTCCACTCTAATTCTCTCGTCCACCTGGCACTTTGTTTCCTTGGTGGACACGCAGTCAGTTGGGCTATATTTGGTCTGGCCGATGATTAAAAGTGCTGGTCTAACCTCTGCCTCAGACAGGCCAATCCATCCCACGGACACCCCACCGCCGACACACACAGGGAGGCTGAATAATTTATGCACAATATCGAACATGAAAGAAGACCTACTAACACTCCAAAGCCCACCAGCACCCTTTCCAATCTCTCTGGATTGTGAAGATGTGTAAACTGCCTCAAACCGCATTTGTTTGCAGGGGTGTGTGTGTTTGTGCGTGTAGACATCCGAACCTTCTTCCCAACTCTATCCTGTTGGAGTCTGGCTGTTCTGGTTACTTTCATATTTCATGGATAGAAAAGTGGGAGGGGAACTCTGTAATTGGAAGCAGCGGTCAAAAATGGTCAAGGAGCACTCAGGAGAGTACTTTGAGGATCAGTCATTTGCTTAGAGAATTTCTGTTTTGAGAAACATGTTGCCTAGCAACTCTTGAGCTGGAGAGAGCCAGAGCTTCCAGGCTTTTTTTTTTTTTTTTTTTCAGCCCAATGAGAAAATACCTGATGGACAATATAATTTAAACACCATAGAGTGGATGAGTGCTGGGCCAGAACTACCTCTGCTATACAGCATGGAGAGCTTTCCAGTGCCAGTTTCAAGTCACCGCTGAGCAGGTTTGTACTCTTTCAGGGAAAGCGCTCCGTGAGTTCAGTAAGACTTTACAAATTCACTGGGTGGCAACTTTATCTTTCTGTGGAGGATTTGTGCTGAAGTTATATAGTGCTGTCTCACCTCCCAAGTGCCCTCATAGTTCTGCTTCTTGAGGCGGACGGCCCAGTTATCGAGGCATGCGTCAGAGCAGTGGTCCATGCTGAGGATAACTGGCCGGCTCAGGACTACCCCTGGAGGGCCACAACTCACAACGGGGCTGAGCAGGGTCTGGCAGCCGGCCAGGGGTAACCTACACCAGGGAGAGAGAGAGAGAGAGAGAGAGAGAGAGAGAGAGAGAGAGAGAGAG